CGGTGGGTTGGTGTGGGGGTGTGGGGGTGTGTAGGTGTGGGGGGGTGTAGGTGTGTGAGGGTGTAGGTGTGTGTGGGTGTAGGTGTGTGTAGGGGTGTGGGGGGGTGTAGGTGTGTGAGGGTGTAGGTGTGTGTGGGTGTAGGTGTGGGGGGGTGTTTCTACCCCAGCTGGGGGCCCTACAGCATTTCGCAGGTCTGCCTGGGCCAGGGTCCCCCGCACAAGCTCTGGCCCATGGGGACCGCGCTAGGAAGCAAAAACCCTGGAAGAGCCTGGGTCCGGCTCCGCACGCTGCCCCCACGTGTGGGGCTGGCGGGGGGGCCCCCCCGGGGGGGGGGGGGGGGGGGGGGGGAGGGACTGGGCTGGGATGCTGCTGGCCTCATGGGCAACTCCACGTTCAGCAGCAGCAGGCTAGGGCCTGCAGGAGGAGGTTGCCAAAGGGCGGTGTTGATTTAAGCCTGGAATTCAGAGCAGAGCTGGCGTTTTGTCTGGTAACTTCCAGCCACTTTAGGCGAAGTCACCTTGCACAAGGAAGACTACAGCCCTTCCCCTGCTCCCGCCACGGGGATGCTGCTGGCCTCATGGGCAACTCCACGTTCAGCAGCAGCAGGCTAGGGCCTGCAGGAGGAGGTTGCCAAAGGGCGGTGTTGATTTAAGCCTGGAATTCAGAGCAGAGCTGGCGTTTTGTCTGGTAACTTCCAGCCACTTTAGGCGAAGTCACCTTGCACAAGGAAGACTACAGCCCTTCCCCTGCTCCCGCCACGGCTGACATTTATGGCACAAAATCCGTTTAGGGCTGCTTTATTTAATCCCTGGACTCCCTTTTGCAGCATTGCATAAACGGCATTAGAGCTCTCCTAAACTGCCACTTGCCATATCTTTTAATTTTTTTTAAATCTTCAATTTTCTCCTTCACTCCTTTAGCCGCAACATTGCCTTTGCTACCACACAGACCTTGTTTTCCTCCACACCGTTTGTTACACCGTGTACATCCTCTCGAAAATTATTGACACAGCTCCCCAGTTCCCCTGAACCCCACTAGCAGCTGACAAGAAGGGAACGGATAAACACAGACTCTCATTGGGCATTTAAAATTGGCATCTTGAGCAGTAACTGAACTGTGACCGTTTACTTGTTTGATTCCATTAATTAATTTGGCTCCCAACTTCTTGTTTGTTCACTTGCTACATCAGATTAATACTCTAGCCTGCAAGATCATTGCAAGAGCACTGGGAAAGGAAGCTTCTTGACTGCGCTCAGTAAATCCATTGTGCAAATAAAAAGCGGTAACTAACTCGCACAGCACAACTTAGCACTTAAGATTCGCAAATTCACCGAGTTCAATGGTCTCATCCAGGAATATTAGTTTATGCAATGAAGAACTATTAAAGCTTTTATTGCTGTTTCTATATACGGCGTTTTTTTGTTGCTATCAAGTATAAATAAAACAAGAACGAGCACAAAGGTGTTCAGGACAACACAGACAACTGCATCCAGCTCTGGAGCCCTCAGCACAAGGAGGACATGGAACTGTCGGAGCGGGGCCAGAGGAGGGCTACTAAAATGATCCGAGGGCTGGAGCCCCTCTGCTCTGAGGCCAGGCTGGGAGAGTTGGGGGTGTTCAGCCTGGAGAAGAGAAGGCTGCGGGGAGACCTGATTGCAGCCATTCAGTGCTTAAAGGGGGCCTAAAAAGATGGGGAAAATCTTTTCAGCAGGGCCAGCTGTGACAGAACAAGGGGGGATGGTTTTAAACAGAAGCAGGGTAGGTTTAGACTGGATATAAGGAAGAAATTCTTTACAATGAGGGTGGTGAAACACTGGAACAGGTTGCCCAGAGAGGTGGTGGAGGCCCCATCCCTGGAAACATTCAAGACCAGGTTGGACGGGGCTCTGAGCAACCTGATCTAGTTAGCGGTGTCCCTGCTCCCTGCAGGGGGGTTGGACTGGGTGACCTCTAGGGGTCCCTTCCAACCCAAAACATTCTATGATTCTATGAAAACATACACACCAAGGCAGCCAATTTGGATGGCCTATGTAAAATTTCGAATGTGATATTAGGATGACACTGGATTTGAGTAACGGAAGTAAATTTTTTATAGTCTGCAGGATGTGAGCGCTTGGGGAAATTGTTCTTCCTGAAGGAGAGAGCTTTATTTTTACCAGACAACGGGGGTCAAATTGCTGTATGTGAAGCCTAGATTTTTCAGTCTGATTCTTCAGATCCCAACTGGTATGAGAAACAGTAGAACTTCTCCTTTGCGGTAGAACTAATCTAGGCAAACTTAAACCAAGTAGTGTTTCCTGACTCTCTCCTGGGATTTCTCACTTCCTTAGGACTGGGCATTCATATCAAGGGAACCAACCGTGGAGTTACTTTTCCTCACTGTTTTCCATGGGTTTGTTGAGGCGAACCCAAGGACAAACCAAACTGTTCGCATGTGCTCTCCCATCAGTACTTGGTATCCATAGAGGGCGTTTGGGAGATGCTGCATGGCCAGAGCCTCCTCTGCAAACAGGCCTCATGCTGGTTACTCTGACTTCTTGTACTGCCACTATTATCTCTTCCCATGGTCTATTAATATTTTACATTACCACTTTTTTTTTGTAAGCTCTCTGCTTCTTTAAAGTTTCCCTCAAATACAGTTCCATGTAAGTATGACACAGAGTTTTTTATACCTTTTCTAGCTCAAGACTTTTAAAGAAGCCTTAATTTCTTTTACCTTTAACAGGGAAGGATTTTGGAGAAGACTGGACTTTGTAGTCAAATCACTTTTGGCCGATACGTGCGACAGGGACGGAAACTAGGGGTGGATCCAAAGCTCTTTATCCAGGATCTGCAGTTCAACAAAGTACCTGTGAGGGTTTATCAGCCTAAAGCTATCTCTGACGGGCGAAGGAGAGGGATCATCTTCTTTCATGGAGGAGGCTGGGTATTTGGGAGTCTCGGTAAGATACTTGCTGGAGGAATTATAGTAATGTAGAAAGAACATTCTCATCTTTTTATAAAATTGAAATAAGAGGAGGTTTCAGCATGTGATTTGGGGGGAAGTCTGAAGACAAATACATGTCTTTCTGGAACAAACGTTCCCTAGCTGTCTCAAAGATTAGGGCAATAGCAAAGCACTAACAAAAATATTTCTTTTCCAGATACCTATGAAAAAGTATGCCGCTACCTATCCAGAGAAAGTGACTCGGTAGTTGTGTCTGTTCAGTAAGTGAACCCTACCCAGTTCTGTTGGTTGGAGATCGTTGTCGCTGTGGTGCCGCAGCAGAGCTGCACTGGTTTTGGAGATGTTCTTTTTTGCAGAAGAATTTCTGTAGATTTCCGTGAAGTCCATAAAGAGACAAATAATAATAATGGAGATTTCACAGCTCTTAACTGTTCATGCCCTGACATACACAGAAAAGACCCATCTGGAAATATTTGGCACACTAAGAAAATCTATAAAAGCCAATCAAAAACTTAGGTGAAAAAAGCCTTCCTTGTGCTGAACATATGAACATGTAATAAGAGGCTCCAAACAATTGTGAGTTATAGAAAAAGAGAGAATAATCACACTGTATCGCTCCCATTTTACACACAGGAAGCAGAGGCACAAAGTTATTAAATTATCTTGTCAAGAATACACAGGGAGTTTTCGGCATGATTAAGAAACCTACAAAGTCTTGGTCAGACTCTTAATCAGAAGACGATCTGACTTTGCTGGTCCTTGTGATTGAATAGACAATTTGCAGCTTATCCGCAATCACTACCTGAGGAATGCCTCCTTAGGAGGTAACGAATATCCTGACCTGGAGGAAAACTACCCCAAAATGACAGGGCTGGAAGACAGCATAGCATACCATTTCCTGATTAATACTAATGACATTGCCTTCTCTTATACTTGTCTCCTTTTGTGTATTAGGTATCGTTTAGCTCCTGAACACAAATACCCTGCTGCGTATGAAGACTGTCTTAATGCTACCATACACTTCATGAATAATATTGAGCACTATGGGGTGGATCCTGCCAATGTAATTGTCTGCGGGGACAGTGCTGGGGGCAATCTCGCAGCGGCTGTAAGCCAGACCCTTACAGGGAGATCAGACCTCCCCAGACTGCGTGCTCAGATCTTGATCTACCCAGGCCTTCAGGCACTGGACTTCAATTTACCATCCTATCATCAAAATCGAGGAGTCCCTCTCTTATTCCGAGAACGTGCTGCTTTCTTTGCTTTGCAGTACCTGAATGGGCATGCATTGCACATGCAAGAGGTCTTGGAGGGCTCTCACATTCCTCCAGATATGAGGCTGAAGTATAGGAAGTGGGTGAGTCCAGATAACATCCCCGATAAATTTAAGGTCAGAGGAGTGAAGCCACTTAGGTCCACTGATTTCATAGCTGAAGTTTATGAGACAGTGAAAAGATTCTGTGAGCCCAACCTGTGTCCGCTGTTGGCCGAAGATGCTATTGTTCACCAGCTGCCCGAGTCTTTCATCTTGACTTGCGAGTACGATGTGCTGAGGGACGACGGCTTGCTTTACAAGAAGAGACTGGAGGACAATGGTGTTCGAGTGACCTGGTACCACCTCGAGGATGGATTCCATGGAGTCATAAGCCTGTATGATTATTGCGGTTTCTCATTTCCAGCTGGGAAAAGGGGATTGGACAGCGTCGTTAACTTCCTAAAAAGCCTATAGTAAACATCTTAGATTCCACGAGTCTGTTCATGCCTCAACCTAGGAAAATATCTTTTTAGGATATTTAGTACCAGGTGATAGGTAGTAAATGAAGGGCAGCCATTAACAATGGTAAGTGAGGCTCATCAGAACCTCATTCCAGCTATTAGTTGGAACATGGAATATGCAAACCTTATGCAAGCTTGTACCATGCTGCAAGCCCTTCCCTTTAGCTCTGTCAATAATGAACAACATTTTAAATTAACATCCTGGTTTGTCCCACTTGTTTAAAATAAAATGTGTCTGTCTATGAAGAGAGACTGTGTGTTGTGCAGGTATGTGTGACGCGTCGGTGTAGAGGAGTGTGTCATTTAGATCACAATGTTTGAGGCATACTCTGTGCTCTGATTCTGAGCTTTATTAGAGAAAATAACCCATCTGCCTCCAGTGGGTTAGGAGCCCTGTGTTGCTCAACAGACAGTATGGTGCAGCCTAGAATGTGGTTACTGGAACGACAGTCACCGTGGGGACAGCAAACACAAATGGTTCTACAGCCAAGCACTTCCACACATCGCCCACGTTTCTCAGCGCACAGGCGGGCGGAAGCGCAGCCCCTTTCTGCCCTAGTTCTAGCAGTGGGCTACTGAGTAATCTCTCACCCATGTAACTGGAAGGACAGTTCCACAACCAGGGAGGGTAGCACTGGTGAGACAAAGAAATATGACTGCATCATACAGGGATGGACAGGACTGGTGGAAAATTGAACGCAAATACTCTCCTAAAGTTCTTGTTGGAAACTGGCTGGAAGAGAGGAAAAGGGTAAGATCGGGAAGGAAGTGTGAGAGCAGGAATAGGGTGGGTCGGAACCAATGTTGTGGAGGAGCATGCAGCTGCAGGAGTAAGCTAGAGTCCAGGCTCATCTCAGAAGAGTGACAGAAGGGAGGATAAGCATCTGGCTTGGCCTGTATGAATTAATTTTGTTTATGATCTGCCAGTCAGAAGCAATACTGGGGTGTGGATCATAGTTTGTGGGTCACACTGGACATAGCATCAGCCAATTGCAAATGCTATAGCACTTGTTATGGCAGTCACTTCAGACCACTATACAACTTACATGCAACTATACAACAACAATACAACTTAATAATATATACCAACATGCTACAAGAGGCTTCATTAACCCTTCCATAAGTTAATATGTATTATTACTTGTATCAGAGGTTCTTTACTATTTCGGACCTGCTCTATAGATTGCATGCCCTGCTTAAGAGCTGAGCAAAATTTTATCATCAGACATTTAATTTTGTCAAAACAGGACAGTTAGGTTCAATACTGGAGCTGTTAGGGCAAATCCTCCTGACTCTGCTAAAATTACTTCTTTAGAAGACTGGCCTGCTGCGGCAGAAGTAGGAACAAAAGGAAAAAATAACAGAGGGGTTCATTTGTCCTTTTCAGATCCTAGGCAGGTGAAAGTACTTAACACAGAACCATGAATAATTTTTCAAGGACTGTACAATATCTTATTTACACCAGGGAATCAACCCAGAATTTTACAATGGCTCATTATACCATCTGACTTTGCCATCTGAGAAAAAGTACGTAGCGCAGAGTTCTTTCCAAATAAGTGCTTTTTAAATGCGTAGATGAAGAAAGCAGCACTGGAACAGAGCTTCCGTAACTATTGGATTGCCTTAGCTATACTGAGTGTTGTGTCTCTCTCCAGTTTATAAAAGACACTGGGAGATTCGGCAGCAGCACATACAGAACAGACTTCATCTGCTTCCCAGATCACAAACCAGACCAAACACTAAGGAGAACCATGATGGAGAAATTTGAGGTAAGTAAAAGAAATTTCAAATGTAGGGCCGTGCATGCCAATATTCCAAACAGTGATGCTCTTTGACTAATGCCTAAATCACATTTTACATCCTGAAACACCTATATGTGTAAAAGAAGGCACTGCAGCTCCATGGCCAGTTTACAGGATCCAGAGCTCTCTTGTATGTTTGATTAAAGCCTTTCAAGGCTAGACAAACGGCACATACTTCTTGGTACTCTCTGTTTTTTTCCCAGCCTCTGCCTTGGAGGGTGCCTAGGGCACATGGAGAAAACCAGCGTGTTACTACCAGCTAGGACTGGGAACTGTGTCTTCAGGACATTTCGTGGGCTATCATATGAGCTTGCTGGTAAAAGAGGATTATTTTCATCAGCACACCTCTGATTCATAGGAACAAACTACACTTAAAATGAGTCCCAAATCTGTCACAACAATACCTTCCCCACAAGTAACATCTGCTAGAATGTTCCTTTCTCCAAGGTGCCTCTCTGTCCCCAAACATTCTTATCATTCTCTCCTGACAGACAGTTGGAAGGTAGCACATACAATGCTAGTGCACAATGAAACACTTAAGCAGCACAAGACAACCAGCTTTTCATTTGCAGGCTCCTTAAACGTATCTGCAAATCCGTGATGCGTGTGTTGAAATCAGACTAATCAGATCCCATGACATGCAGATGTAGTAGCTTAATTTAATTGGAAATTTACTTTACTTGAAATGCAAATGCCCTTATTTTCAGGCATTAAATTATAAGTAAAAGTACTGTAAGTAGTGACAAAATTTTGTGGTATCACTGATAGTAGGGTCTGACTCAAAAGTATGCTAGACCATCTGAATGCTGTCTGCAAAGACAAACGGCATGGTTTCATGTACATCTCATTTCAGGGCCTGCCAATGCAGCACTTCTTCACCCATCATGAGGAACCAAGAAGCTGGAATTTAGTATCAGAGTATGACGATGAATACAATAGACATGGTTACAACCCGGTGCTGCCTCCCTGCCGTAGCTGGAATGGACGCAAGCTTGCCTGGACTCCTCAGAAATCAGATTTCCCCATTCTTGGTAGTCTTTGGCATTATTAATTCAATCAAAAGGAACATGGTGCAGTGGTCAATATATAGACTTAGAGCCAGGAACCTCCTCCTGTTTTAATTCTGAAAATGGATCTTGCCCTGACTTCTGGCTACTTTCTTACATAGTCAGTAGCTTATTTTTCTGATTGATAAAGTGGAAATGTAATCCATATGACGATACTTAATCACCACAGGAAGCAGCAAAGGATCGCATCAATGAACACGTTTCTCTCCCCTATGCAATAACGCAAGACACCAGCTGAAAGCAAGGAGAGCTGTGAGATACAACTAGCAGGAGAATTCATGGAGTATTGTTATATTTCTGAATTTAAGTGACATCCACAGCTCCGCTACCTTTTTTAGTATCTGCCAGAGAGACTATGAAGAATCAGGACTCCTTACATTTATACCATGACTGCTGTCCTATTGATACCTAATAGTGTTCTTCTCTTCCAGACAGAGGGTATAGACACACATGCTCTGAGAAGAAAAAGATCTGTTTTGTCCTTAATCTCCTGTCAAAATAGTAAAATATTCCCTATAACAACTGTGGAGTAAAAACACCAGGACCAAAAATTCAATTCCATAATTTCTAACATTTAATCATTTCCTGTCCCAGCACCACCCACCAACTATGGCCTTCTTGATCACCTGATGAAAAAATGGCATAAGAAAGAAGCCGGAGTGATGAACAGTGTCTACACCATTTCCTATGGAAGCCCACCGATTTCTGCTTTTGCCACTCATCGGCTAACACAATCAGCTAAAACTCTGACCTTCCTTCCAACCGGGGACACCTTCCCCAGAATGATAGTAGAATCCTGGACTATGAAGGGGGTCAGAAATAGCTGCAAGCCATCAGCCAACTGGTGAGAGACAGAAAAGCAATGGACGCCTCTGTGTAAACTGCTTAGGGTGATCTTAAGTACTACTTAATATAGCTTGTTGCTCATGTACGTAAGAGTGATCTGTTCCACGTGGAAGGAATGAGAATTAGGTTATATAGGCAGAGGGCTGTCTACTAGTTAAGACACGTTGCTGCTTTACATTCTGACCTGCTGCTGGCTGGGAATATTTCAGAAGATATTAAATCACTGTAAACAAAATTTTCATCTGTTCGTTTCTAGTCAATGCATAGTTTCAATAAGAAAAAAAAAATCACCAGGGTGGGATTGAACCTGAAAGGACATTAATCTCTTAATTTCTTTGTCCTTAGTTGTTTTTTCACTTTAACACAGATTGCTATACTTTTCTTTAAAGAAAGAGGAGAAAAGAAACTTGTGTTATTCCACAACAGGTCTGAAACATCCTAGAATAAAGTAAACATATGAAATGGCTGTGTACCTAAGGACAAGGTGAACCAAGGTTTCTCCCAATGCAGTAAGCAAGCAGACCTTGATTGCCCTTGGCTTTACGTACTGAATGGCACTTCATGGTAGATAAGCTGCAAAGTGAACTGAATTAGCTGACCTTATGTTACCAAACAGTAAATCTAGAAGAAATAGCTGTAGTTGGCCTTTATACTGCTGGATAGGCCACCCTGATACTTTACTCAGTTGAGAAAGTATGTGAACAACCTACGTAAAAAGTCCTGTGAGAAATCCAAATTCTTATTGCACGGGTGTGTAACCTCTGCATTTAAATCAGACAGTCCAGAGGAGATATTCGCAAGGTTCAGCTGCTATGGGTCCGAGGCTCAACAATAGACTTGTAGCAAGTTAAAGGCTTAGATTAAATATGTCTGGAATTAATTCAATGCATATTTATATCTTCATCAATTTTGCTCAAGATTAGCAATAATACAATCATTTTTAGGAACAAGATAAAGCATATACCTTAGCCTTGACATGGACAAGCCTCTGGCCATGGTCTGTATAGAGTTTTACCTCTGCAACGTCTCAGTCACTGTGATTTAGGTTTGCTTTGTCAAGGTTGGATTTTCAACTGAAGGACATGGATGATTCAGAGGTGTGTGTAGAGCAACAGTGGCACGTATTGGCAAAGCGATTCTTCACTAACCTGTGAGACACCCAAAAATGTCTGCAGGAGAAGTGCGCAGACCCTCAGCTGGTTGCATGAATCAGAAAGCAGCATTGTTAATGAAATCTTTCAGAGATGCAAGAGCCCTGATAATTAGATAAGCATTATATGGGGGGTTTTTTTGGCTTCAAAGCCCCAGGGACATCAAAGGCAATTAGAAAAAATTGAAAGCAAAGTAGATGAAAGTAGTCACTGAAACAGAGCCAGCTATTAGTGCTGTGTTACAAAACCTACATTCTCTTGAACAAACATCTTTAAAATAATCCATAACGAAGGCATGCCTTACAATGGACTGAAAATTGGTGGATAAAGAAATTCTTGTATCCACAAGGAAGTCCATCCAGATTAATTTTATTGCCAATACGACTATAAAAAGTGTATATTTCTGTTTGCTACCCATGTGCTAATATTTTTAATGAAAATACCAATCAACCATGCATCTTAATAGCACAACAAAGTCCATATAATATCTAGAATACAGCTTAGACAATCATACAAAGGTAGTCTTCATTTCATGCAACTCTATCAGTTTGCTTAAAAATCTGGTCATCAATCATTCATAATTATTAAATATTTATCGTAAATGAAACATTTATGGCTATTATCTACTATGCTTCGAATACCAAAGTTCATATACGCAAAGAAATGACCAGCTTGATGTACAGGGCATTAGTGAGATGCACAAGTACCACCTATGAAATTTGTATGAAAACATTAATTCTGAATCCGTAAGCTGACTGGGCAGGGCTCCCCAAGCACAGGTCTCATCCGTCCAGCTGTTGAGCCATTTACAGGTAAAATATACGACTTTGACACCCAAAGGAACCAAACAAAGCACGCTAGCTAATGGGATGAAATGCATTTTGATAGAAAGCTTCTTAAATAGAAAAATGCACAACTCTACAAGACATGTCAGTTGTGATTAATAACACCTGGGAGCAAAATAACTGCTTCAAACTGTTTAACCGATTACCTGTTTTCACTTCAGCAATACTAAATATGTGCCACAGATATCTAGCTGGGTTTTTGGTGACTCAAGCCTCAAGCTGAACTCAGGACAGAGAGAGTCAAGGCTTCCCCATCTCTTGTTCTGAGTTCAACGGAAGTGGAATCAAACACCAATCAGCCAGTAACAAAAATTGCATGAACGTATCTTTATCTCAATGACATTGCACAAACATTCTGTAAGATGAAATTTCAGACAGTATAGCACTGATAATCAAGCGGTCGAGCCATTGCTGAAAGCAGTGCTGCAAACACATGGCTGCATCAAGGATACCTCATTTATATTTTCTTGCTGACCACTTTGATTGGGTCATAATGCTGCACACCTGTTTTATTGCCAATAGGTAGAGGTAAGCATATACACAATTTTTTCCAAGTACTATACTGCATTTGGCAGAAGTGTGTTGAAGTAGAAACGGCAGACAAAAATGAATGATACCTACACCTATGGTTTATAGACACTAATTCTTGTGGAGACAAACAATGCTGTTTAATCAGTTACAATATAGCTGTGCTAGAGACTCCCTTAATAATAAACATCCTTGTTTTGTCCGACACAAATACATTTCCCAACTCCCTCAAATCTTCAGAAATTACAAGGACTTTTATTCAAGATAAAACCACTAAACCAAAGGTCATTCTGCCTGTGCTTCAAGAAAAGGTAAAAACTGAAATAATTAGGATGTTCACAGCTGCCATGGAAAAGAGGCGAGAATGCTTGAAATTTCATCATTAAAAATCTGCAATAACTCAGAAATCCATTTACTAGTAAACAGAAAATGCAGCCAGCTAACGAAAATGTACAACAGAAATGCTGGGTTACACTACGAAGATGTACACTTTCCAGGAAGAGGGGATATTAATGATGAAAATAGCATAACCTTATAGAGAAAAGACATCAGCTTGAAGTATAGACCTGGTGATAAACACTCTTGAACTTGGAGACCTCTGAAATACAGACCCAGTTCGGAACTTAAGTACGTTTCTATCAGACAAGTAAATAGGTAATGTTTATTCTGGTACCCTCTGATGTTGTAAGGCATAATTCATTAATGTACAACAAGCACTTTGGGACTCTTGGGAATCTTTATAATATGCAAAGGATTACATTTTGCCGATGTGTGAGATTTATCCAAGATTTTTTTTGAGAAATGTTTTTTTTTAGTCTCAGGGCCTTGTGGTCACTTGTGACTGGAAAGCAAGAGTGCACCAGTCTCTTCAATTTTTCATGGAGCAAATAGATGTTTTGATACAACTCTCTGTTATGAAAACATTCTAGACAGTTTTGTTTGCATGAAATCAGCCTCATATTTGAACTTCTGTGACATTAAAGAGACAAAGTGGTAGTGAGAATTGATGCACATGTCTCAAATCAAGCATTTCTGTTCAGTGCAGTCACTAACCTTATTTTGTGGAACATTCAGTTCATTTGCGCAAAATATAATTTATAAACTTTAGCATTTTAATTGGGCTTAAAATTATTCAAATGGAGCAAAAGCTTTGGTAATGGAAACAGTCAGTTTGTGCTTAACTATTATGGCATTGCTATTATTCTTTTACAATTTTATCAAAACCTCTACAAGAATACCTCTCTGCAGATTTTTAAAAGACATGCAGATGTGGCGCTTAGGGACATGGTTTAGTGGTGGACTCGGCAGTGTTAGGTTAACGGTTGGACTCGATCTTAAAGGTCTTTTCCAAACTAAATGATTCTATGATTCTCTATTTCTTGCCTTGAAGGAGACCGATGTCAGCCTAAATGAGCTGCATAACTGAGAAGATAGATTCTTTGGACTGCAAATCTCCGTCAGGGTTGGGACTCAGGCAAGGAACGCTGATTCTGGCTGGCACGTTCTGCAATAACTGGGGACTGTGGATGCCAGCTGTGAAGTGAGGGTGGTCACAGAGCCTAAGTGGCAGGGTTTCAGGGAGAAGAGAAGCAGGCTGTTGGCAAGAGGTTGTTCGCATGGTCAGGAGGCTTCTTTCAGAAAGTTACAAATACTCCTTGGAAGGTGCTTAAAAAGGCTATCCAAGTCAGTTAACTGGTAAAACAGCTTCACTGTTCTGAATCTGAGCACTACCTAATGGTGACACAATGGCTGCCAAGTCCTGTCCTGCAAAGCTGCACATTCCACTGCAGTGATTTCTTTGCACAGTACCTTATATATAAGCACATATAGCTCCTGGGACTGGGATTCAGACTCACCCTGCTCCCCTAAGAATATAAAAAAGCTCTCTTTGGTGGAAGTTACACAAGGCGCACATATCTGGCAAAGCTTTTTGTGTATTTAAAACACATATTTTTCATATTGGTGATGAAAACATCAAACTGCCATTAGTAACCAGCTTTTTCCTTTTAAAGATTTTTGTACTGTTTGTTGAACTGAGCTGAACTGATCAGCACCACCTTAAAACCATGCCACTGACAGGCTTTTTTCCCCTGTAAGTCTAAGCAGTCTAAACAGATCTAATTTGCAATACACCTATGATGATATCTTACTGCCATATGGGGTTGTACCACTTCAGGAAAAAAATCAATTTACTAGCTTTAAAAAGAATTCGTATTTGGTCCTTCTCTCCTAGACAGCGTGGCTTTCGTCAAAGAAATACTGTTCCACATCAGCAGGAACTACAGCTCCCATCAAGATTTTCATCAACCAAAGCAAATATACCCGAAACAAAGTGCTGTATCACACAGCTCTTAAAAGTGGCATAGAGGACCACGGAGGGGGACAGTCCCACTGATTTCACTAAGACTACGTTAACCATTAAGCAGGGTTAGGCCCTGCTTATTCACCCGGACGAAGAGTACACAAACTTCCCAAAACGTGATACGTTCTTTGCAGAAGCCTCTTACTTA